TTAGGTTAAATATGTTGTATTAGGATTTGTTAGGGGTCAAAACATTTTTTAAGCTTTAAAAATCTATAATTTGTGATATTTTTGCAAATGAACAACTCAATATGGCATTTTTGTAATTGTCCCACGAGAAAATTAGTGGTGCAAAGGAAGTAGTTTAAAGGAAGTAATTTAAAAGTTAATTATAAACTACCAAAAGCAAAAATTTGTAGACCGCCGTACCAATAAGCGAGTTTTGATTCCACCATAGGGAGAATCCGTAATGATGTGACGATAAATTATTAACTTATTTAAGTTGTAGTTTTGAGTATTGACTCTATATAAATGGAGTACATAACATAGGATATTTTGATTTTGATTGTCGTACCAATAAGCGAGTTTTGATTCCACCATGCATCGAACAAAGTTACATATAAAACGAGCATGTATTAAATAATATCCTTAATTAAGGACTAGATCCAGTGATATGTATGCTATATGCATGTGTGAGCTGTAAGGTTAGTCCATTAATCATGGGGTTTTGTCGTTAAAAGAAGAGAAAGAAATAAGCTTATTTATAGACAAGGACCAACCAAGACAGCCCTTTCTATGGCCTCTCTTCCAACTATAAAAATGCCATCTGTTTACTTATGATTTCTTCACTACTCTTCCATTATTATTTTTTTATAAATCTTGTACTATATGTCCTCACATGAACATTAAAGAGGAAAACGAAATGATTGAAATGCGGACCTCTTATTAAACAAGAAAATTGATTCATAAACAAACATAGATATGTTGATAACCAAATGCGGACCTATAATGGCAGTATATATGAATGATGTTACGGAGCATGAATGTGATAAACTTCTAAGTTCTTTGGTTCATTGAATGATAGAATTTTGTAGTCAAAAACAAAACCAAGTTCCCGATAAAGAGATGACTCCAGAACCCACTATGAATTTTTTTAATAAAACTTATCTAACTAAAATAGAAATATAAATGTAGTATGTTTGGAAGAAAAGAAATTGAAATTCAAAAGAAATTCTAAAACGTGTTTGGTTCTGAAAGTATTATTAAGAACCCCTAACAACATCCCATTGAAGGTATTTTAATGGGTTCTCAA